TGCTCAAGTCCCTTCACCAGCCTCGTTGCTCTTCTCTGGACCCGCTCCAGCACCTCAATATCCTTCCTGAACTGAGGGGCCCAGAGCTGAACACAATACTCAAGGTGTGGCCTCACCAGTGCTGAGTACAGGGGAAGGATCACTTCCCTGCTCCTGCTGGCCACACTGTTCTTGATGCAGGCCAGGATGCCATTGGCCTTCTTGGCCACCTGGGCACACTGCTGGCTCATGTTCAGCCTCCTGTCAATCAGCACCCCCAGGTCCCTTTCTGCCTGGCTGCTCTCCAGCCACTCTGTGCCCAGCCTGTAGCGCTGCAGGGGGTTGTTGTGGCCAAAGTGCAGGACCCAGCTCTTGGCATTGTTGAACTTCATCCCATTGGAGTCAGCCCATCTCTCCAGTCTATCCAGATCCCTCTGCAGAGCCCTCCTGCCTTCCGGCAGGTCGACACTCCCTCCCAACTTGGTGTCATCTGCAAATTTGCTGATGATGGACTCAATCCCCTCATCCAAATCATCGATAAAGATGTTAAAAAGGACTGGTCCCAGCACTGATCCCTGGGGAACACCACTGGTGACCGGCTGCCAACTGGATGCAGCCCCGTTCACCAGCACTCTCTGGGCCCGGCCCTCCAGCCAGTTCCTGACCCAGCACAGAGTGCCCCTGTCCAAGCCATGGGCTGCCAGCTTTTCCAGGAGTATATTATGGGAGACAGTGTCAAAGGCCTTGCTGAAGTCCAGATAGACACATCCACAGCCTTTCCATCATCCACCAGGTGGGTCACCTGATCGTAAAGGAGATCAGGTTGGTCAAACAGGATCTGCCCCTCCTAAACCCGTGTTGGCTGGGTCTGATCCCTTGTCCATCCTGTAGCTGCTGTGTGATTGCACTCAGGATGATGTGCTCCATAACTCTGCTCATATACTGTTGAAGAATTAAAATTTTTCAAGATACTAAAAAGCTTCACATCTACCACTAATTACGACAAAAGTTTAGTTATTTTTCTGAATTATATTAATGACCCTAAATGCTAAAACTCTACTTTAGTAAAGTAAGCATTAGAGATTATGTATTCTATTAATAACATCCCCCACATCGTATTTTTTTATGTAAAGGACTTTCTTTGCACTTTTTTTTCTTTGTAACTTCAGGAGTTTCAGCCTGTCATATGATAAAACAGGTTCACCTTCCCCAAAATCAGAATGTTTCAACTGGTTTTGCTGCTTCATTTTAACCCCAACAGATGGGACACATGAAATTTCAAAAGCATGGTGATTGTTTTCTCTCCCACTCTTATCAAGCACAGGCGTAGGATGCCTCTGGTTTAGACTCCTGCTGTTATTTGGAAACTTGTGGCTCAAAACAGTTAGCAAGGAAATGTTGCACAAATATCCAGTTGAATTAAGGAAATGTCTTTATCCTTAAACTCCCCCTGAGATTACAATAGCATCTCTATTAAAACGACACAATTCTAACTCCTTTTAAGCAGGACCTTTGAATTATAGAGTCCATTACAAGCACAGAGTCAGTAAACTTGCATTTCTTCCTGTTTTAATCAATGAGACTGCCTTTTGAAAAACAGACAATACTCTACTGAAGGCAAAGGCACACAATACAAAAAT